ATGGTGACTCAGCCTGGTCATAGGCACAGCCACCATTCCTGAAAATCAGCAACACTGGGCCTGAGGGCTGTTCAAGGGATCGTTAACACCCCTGCCAAAAAACGAAATGAAACCCATACACATCTGCCTTCCACAAATAAACACACAGGGAGAATGAACCTTGCCAGTGGGCACGGAAGGAAGAGTTGGTGTCACCTCATTCTCTGCAAAGACAGCTGGCCGAACAGAAATCCCCAGCCCAGGGGAGACTGCGTGTTGGGGCTCAGAGTCAACTCCCAATATTTCACCATGTCACAGAGACGCAGAGGAATAACTTTTGAGCATAATACAAAGTGAGGACTGCCACTCGTTAAAAAAATTCCTTTCCATCCTAAAATAGCAGTCCACAAAGTAAGTATTGCAAGGAGTCAGCGATGTTTCAGCTCCTCACGGCAGCCCCGTGCCTCTCCTGATGAGGAAGTGCTGATTTATTCCAGAATGCACACGTCCCGCTCACTGCTCCTCTCCAGCCCTCCCTCCTGAAGGCTGCACTGTGCCTGCCTGTGTCACTGCTGCCAGCTGCACACAGCCAGGTCTCTTGGCTAACAGAGAGTGGCCCCTGCCCCCCCCCCCCCCGATATGAAAAATAAGAAAACCACAGTATGAGACTATTACCCAAAGACATTAGAAACAAAGACCAGGAGTATTGGCCCATACTTGAAAGCTTGCTTCAAGTTAGGGCTTATGGCAGGGTGTGTGTGGGGGAGAGGGGGGGAGCAGTGTCGGGAGGAGGACAGTTAGGATAGAAAAGGGGCCATTATGACACTGATAAGTTAAAAATGATCACTCTGAACAAGAATTGCATGCTGAAAGTAGGTAAAGTGTGTGATAACGTTCAGTACCTGTAGTGCAAATCATAATGTCCAGAGGAAAGAAGGAGAGGAGGAGAGAGTGAGAGAGAGAGAGAAAGAGAGAGAGGAGGGAGAGAGAGAGAGAGAGATGAAAAGAGCTTGCCATAGAGGCAGACTGGAGGGGGGCGGGGGGACAACGAAACTGGGGACATTGGTGGTAGAAAATGTGTACTAGTGAAGGGATAGGTGTTGGAACATTGTGTGACTGAAACACAATCATGATCAACTTTGTAACCATATCTCACGATGACTTAATTTTAAAAAATTAAATTAAAAAAAAGTTGGGGCCCACCAAAGCTAGAGCAGACTGAATCCTGGGAAAAGGAAAGAAAGGCAGACTTCAGAAGAAACAGTCTGGGGCCTTCAATAGCCAACACAGCTGCTGAAGCAGCCTGCCATGTGCTTGCCTCTGTGGAGGTGTGTGTGTGCAGACAGGGCCATGTGGACGTATCAGCATGTGTGTACACAGATGAAGACCCTGATACTGTGCCTGAGACCATTCCTCCTGGAGTGGGTTGCTTTGAAATGGCCCATGTATTTACACCCCTGCAGACATTTAGACCCGTGGGTAGGAAGAAGTCAAATTTCCATCTGTTGGAAACATCTTCCAACTAGCCCTCCTGCAACTTCTCTCCGAGTTTCGTTCTGAAACTCGTTGTCTGACAAACTGCTGGTGAAGGTTTACAGAAATATTAAAGATCAGCACCCTAATGAGAACCGAAACAAGATCAAGGCAACAATAGTGAAACACACTTAGAACCTCATTGGGCCTGCAGCCAAAACCCTCGAATCTGTTCTGTGCGCACCCACAAACTCAGGATCCGCAGCAGAGATTTGATAAGGAGATTCTAGCAGGTATTTATAGCCGGGATAAGAGTGCGGACGGCTTGCAAAGACAGGATGGGGTGGCTAGAAAAGGAAAATGAAGACGAGAAAATGACAGATTTAAATGCCATCCAAACATTTCAAGCCACTCCTTGATTTGTGAAAATTTTACGACGATTTGGGTGCTCATAGAATGGTGGTTTTTGAACTGCAATGGGAAGTGTCACAGTGGGTGCTCAAATCCAAATCTAATAGGTTTGAAAAAGACCAATTGTTAAAAATAGGCAGCATTCCAGGTACTTGGGCAGCTGAGAAATTGCTAATTCCAAAGAAAGTTAATTATCACCTTATTGATAAAGGGCTAATTGTTAAGGCTGGTAGTGACTTTGGTGACTCATTAATTAAAATTTAGAGCAATTTACTAGGCCCAATGCTGGCTTCTGTTACATTATGTATGTACCAAGCCATTTGATTTTTCTCCTGTGGGCTGTTTATAAACACCACCACTCCCCTACCACACACACCTGTCAGCCTTTGAAAGCAGCAAAAACATTAAAAATGTGTTCATCTCAAAGCAGCCTTTTGGGAGATCACAGGATTAAGAAGGAATGTGTACAGAGAGGTACTTAAGCTGAGCTCCTGCCCAAAAACATCAGGTTTGCCCACCAAAATTAAGGACCGGTGGCTCCCGGAAAGGGCCAGCTTCACTTTCCCAAATGTTCCATCCCATTTTCCGCACCTTTGTAATTAGACTGAAGAGAGTCTTTTCTCATTTCCTGCCCCTTCTCCCCCTCACCACTTGAGAATGAAAGAGGAGGGAAGGTCCACTGGGAGAGAAATGACAAAGAAGGAAACTGGGGGTGCTTGGGATCGTACAGCTCCCCTGACCCCCAGCCCTGATACACAGTGAGGGCCAGCGGCACCTCCTGTTTCTTTTGGGAGATGTGGGTTGTGGCAAGCACACCCAGTCCAGGGTGATGCTGAGGCTTTCAGGGGTACAGTGTCCCTGCAGGGCTCTCCCAGGATTTGGGGGCAAACCCCTAGAATCTCCCCCACCTTGCCTGGACCCAAGGCTATTCTATGGTGGTGTAAGGGACGAGTGTATGTGTGACCTCTCTCTCTCTCTCTCTCTCTCTCTCTCTCTCACACATACACACACACACACACACACACACACACACACACATGCACACACACTGAAAAACAGACTTATAAAACAAAAATCAACTCCCTAAGCCTAATTTACATACAAGTTCTTTCTTTCAGAGCTGTCCTTGTTTGGATTTAAGGGACCATCTGGGTGCAGTCCTACAACTCGCTGAACAACTGGAAACCCCAAATTAGGATTCCCATACAGACCAAAGCTACCACCTTATAAAAGATTGAACACAATCTGTTTGCGATGTTCATTGCACATCATTTTGAGTTGGGAAAATTCAGATTCTCTAGAAGCTCTATGGGGACATCACTTGGATTTTCGTCATAAGCAAATCTTCCTTGTAAAATCATTATTTTTTAAAAATTCAGTTAGAAAGTCCAGGCAGCAATATTGACAGTACTTGAGGGGGCTTAGTTTCTAGCAGCTGGTCTATTTGCCTCACCTGCTGCTGGCAGGGAGTCCTGGAGGCAGAGGGGAGCCCCAGAAATCAGGATTCAGAAAGTGAAACTGTTGCTATTTCACGTGTCTCAAAAACACTCCCCCCCAATTCAGAAAGACCCAGCACAATTCTCTCTGTTCTCTTATGTTTACTTTTCTTTCTACTCTTGTTCACTGACTGTTTTTTTTCCAGCAAACAATAGTAATTTTGGTGGTACAGAGAAGAAATTTAAGCATGCTTAATATGAAAAGTAAGTTTTCTTAAAGAATTTGCACTTTTCTTATAATTCTGCAAATCCAGCAGATGGAGAAATTTATCAAAATCTTGCAGCACCCTTCCACAGGCAGGATTTTAAAAGCTCAAGAAAGCACATTTCCATTTTTTAAAAAATCTGTCATAAATATGTCTCAAAGGTAAAGATTTTGAAGCCAACAAACCACTTCCCTAAAACTGCCAGTGTGACATACTTGTTTTCTTGGAATTCAGATGATCACTCCACTTCTCTAGGTAATCGTCACCCCCCCCTCGTTCCAGGCTCACTCCACCAAGCAATACCACCTGCACAACTCTGCACTCTGAAATTGTTCACCTCCCAGTAAATTCCTTATTAGTGATATTTCTGCTTTCACTCCAAGTATTTCGCTTTATAAGTAAAACAGTCTGGAGCAGAAGGAAAAGCCACTTTGTCTCTTGCTCTTCAGAAAAAACTATTGGGTTGAAAAGGGGAAAATACAGAGAGACTAACCCACTGGCTTGATTTGCAAACCCCTGAGTTTTGTTCTCATGCGCCAAGGGGGTCTGGGACCAACCAAACAGCCCCGGTGTCGGGAAGCCACTCATCTTGAACCCTCTCAGGTGTCGATCCAGGCTCCAGAGACAGTACCCACTGCCCCACTCCATGGTTACTAGGAAGACCCGTGGCTTTGCACCGCAACAATCTGGCAACACTTATGGGCCAGTAGCACCTCATCCATGGGCACTGTCCTGTCCACCTCAACCAGCAACCTGGTGAGGCTACTGCTGGCACAGAAGAACGTGAGGAGCTGCTGGCAGGCACTGACCACTCACCCTGAGAAGGATTTGAACTTGGGAAAACTGCTCTTCTCACTCCAGCATCAGTTGCTTTCCCCCAAAACCTGCCAAGAACCGTCACTCTATCTATAGCCTTCTCTTCACCTATGCTAGTTTACTCAGAAAAACCAATAGGCATGTCAAATCAACCCACATACTCACAACATACCAATTTTAATCAACATTAGGAAAATCCTTTTATCCCAAGGCAAACAATATTATTTTTAAGTAAGAAACAAATCAAGACAAAAATAAAATCATCCTGCCCAAATGTAGCTCATGCATTGTTTGAACTCCTATAATGGTAGGGGAATTACTTTCTACCTACTCCAGTACACAGTTGAAAAGTCGTGAATGTATTGACACCCTAAAATGTATAAACTACACCATTTTCTGCTCTATATTCCCCTGTGAGAGATGGTTAAGAAATCAAACATTGTCACAGAATCAGGGGACAGTGAAGTGACCTGCTAGCTTTGGGAGCTTCCTGCAAGACACTCGGGCATTTCCAGAGAAGTAGTTGTGTACCCCAGAAAAGCTGCGTTGGTGGGGGAACCTATCAGAGAGGAAAGTGCCCATGTCAACGGCACACCCTGCAGTTGTGCGTCCCTCTTACCTACAGTTTGTTCACCAGAGCCCTTGCAGGTTCTCCGCCCGGCCAGGAGTGCTGCTTCAGAAGAGAGAAGACTTTCAGGACATGCAAACCAAGTACTGCAGAAGCTAATCTTCCACTCGGGAGTGAGGAGCTCACAGTTAGCCTCCAGCAGTCCAGCTCTCCGGTTGCAAACATCTCATTAGACTAATGCATTCAGCACAGGCAGAAAACTCGATTTACCATAGCTACAGCAGTGAATTTCCATTACGATGACAGCTGCAACCACATCATGTCCGGAAAACCAGCCAACCACTGGCTTTTAAAGAACACACACATTTTACATGCAGAAATCGCAGTGTGTGTGTGTGTGTGTGTGTGTGTGTGTGTGCACGCACGCACGTGTGCATGCACATACGCGCATGTGTGTGTATTTCTGTGTATGTGTTTCTTTTTTCCTTCCTCTTTAGCAGAGAAATATGCTATGTAGATTCTTTTTTTTTTTTTTTTTTTTTTTGCTAACATGAGCTGCAAGGTAATGACACTTCTGCTTCTTTGGTAATTCCGTCCTTGTAATAACCTGAATTATGTCACAATTGTCAGAATGAGTGTTTCCAACATTTCGGTTTTCATCGCCCCTCCTCTGTTGCCATAGAAACCAGACTATAACATCGTCTCTTTGTCCCAGACCTGAAGCAGTGGGGCCAGTCCAGGGCTCATATTGGCCGATCTGAACGAATACATGTTTGACTTTGGACAAAGGAAACAAAAAAAAGAGGGTCTATGAACTTCACTGTTTAGGTGAAACTGTGTGCAGAAGATATGCTAACACAGATGAATACTCCGGACCATATTTTAAAGTGTAAAGCCCAACACCTGCTGTGTGATGGGGCATTCAAGCAGGCCTACTCAGGATACTCAAGTTGTATGTGTGAGAACAGAAACATTTTGGCGTTTGTCAGCATTGCAGGGACTGCATGGGGAAGGAAGGTTCTCACACAAGGAAAGGATCACAGTTCACCCCTCAGTCCCATTGCTTTCTCTGTGATAAATCCGTTTGTACTACTAAACAGATGTTTTCTCTCTCACCATCTTTCTGCCTTTTTTTGTTTACTTATTTACTTTGTGATGTGGAGCAAGGACTCTTAGTGTTCATTTCATTCATCCCATTCTGGGGTATTATTTCCAAGGATATCCTACAAGACCAAATATTCATTCTGTGACAATGTGGCCATCACAGGGGATTACTCCTGGAGATGAGCAATGAGCCAAGTCAGCCAAGACTAAACACATCATTTAAGGCTAATTAAAGTTTAGGTCACAACTTGGACAGTCATTAAGCATGGAAAATTAAAATATTACCCACCCTAAGTTTTTCTGAATATAAATGCAAAGTCTTATTAGTAAGAAAAAAAGCAATCATCTCAAATAGTAAAACTGGGGGAATATAGTTTTTTGGAATCCAAACTTTTTACTGATTTAACAGGAAGTAAATGGCACTGGTTCATCTCAATAACCTGATATTTTTGTGTTCTTTTATGTGAGACTGGGTAAGTTTGACTGTTCTTCATGTTGGGTCTTTAATTAAATTGGTTTCCTTTGAGAAAGAAGTGGATGAGGAAGAAGGCAGAGAAGGAGGAGGAAGAAGAGACAGAAAAAGGGTTCAGGGTCCAGTAGATGCTTTTACTAAGGGCTGTGTCTACCTCAACCTCAGGGCTGAACAGACACTCACGTAACTCCAAACTGCACTCAGCCAACCTGGAGAGCTCATGATGCCAAACCAGCATTTATCTGACCCAAGTTTGATTTCTGGTACTATATATACTCCCACCCCCACCCCATCCCGCCAAGCCCTTCCAGAAGCAATCCATGAGCATAGGGCCAAGTATTATACCCCTGGGCACTAAAATCCCAAGTAAATAAGTAAATTATTTTCTGAACACCTGGACACCAGTGGTATAACACCTGTGGCTAACACTTGGGTGTCACATCTGTCTGTACCAACAAAAATGGTTCTCATTACCAAAATTTCATATTAGACTTAAGTTTGTCTTCATCTATCCAAGAAGGCAAAGTTTTCTTAATGAAGCCACCAGATGGGGGAAAAATAGTGCTGGTATCAACATGGTAAATAAATAAAATTGATCTTTCTTAAGTAATAAAACTTATTGCCCAAATCCTTTTAAAGAGGACAAAGTTTTAGCACAATCTGCCCTAAGAAAAGGAGATTTGGGTTCCCTCAAGCCCTTTGACTCTGTGATGGCCATTTGAATTCATCCTCTTTTCCTTCTCTCAGAAGACCATTGTTGAGGCAGGTGCTTAGCCTTGGAAGCTTCTGGAATAAGGGCATTGACTTCTAACAGGTCCATCCTGCAATGATAGCTAAAGTGTAAATGAACTAAAGCCAGCTTTATTGAAATATATTTTTAGATCTAAGTATATTCATGTCCATGGATGTATATTCATGTCCAGGGAGAGAGATAGAGATATAGATAGAGATATAGATAGACTATACTCATAGTTCCCCCCTTTTTTTTTTGTCATGTGATAATCAGGGTGGAAGTACTCATCAGGGATTGCACATTTTATATTTGTTTTGTTCTCACACCTCTAGCTGTAGTGCACCAGAAATTGCACACTTTTTTGTGGTACAAGGGATCATAAATGGCTATTGGGATCAAACTTAGCATGTGAGATGGTGCCGGGTACTAAATGAAGACCTTTTATCTGAAAAGAAAGCACTTGACCATTGAACTACATCCCTGGGCCCTAAAGGTCTTTTTGCAACCAAGATGCTAGGGCTTAAGAAAATAAATTCATAGTTTCAAAAATTCTAAGTGCTTAAAGCATTAGTCTAAGGTCTCTTTCTAAGTCTTGTACAAGCATTCCTGAAGATGATGACATAGCTGGGACTATGTGACTTGGGAATTTCTGCCTGAGACCAGAGGTTGCACGTTCTACTCTTTTCATAAAAATGTTATTTATGAAGGGTACCACCAAAAGGAGAAGCTTATGGAGATGGGAGTTGGGGGAGTGTCCCAAATGCAAATTCCTTATTTAAAGTGTAATCTCTGTCAGTTGCTAGTAAAGAGTTGGGATCCAACACAAAATAGCTGTGTGCTGGACAAGGGAGAGTGTACTGCTGTTAAAAATAAAAAAAAAAAAACCACCCACACCAATCAGAGCTAATATAGCTCAGTGAACTATTCTTGCTCAAGTGCTATCCCTGTCATCTCATTTACAATAGTCTCAGAAAGTATTATGAGTACTTGAGTGCCATTCCCCTTTTATAGCTAAGGAAACTGAATCTTAGGGATATTACCTAAGTTTCCCAGGTCACACAGCTCAGAAGTGATGGTCACAAGACTGTTACAGGCAGCCTGTCCCAGAGTAAAAGAAATTAATCAACTGGTCACAGACTTTCTGGCCTTGGTACTAACTCTTCCATCAACTCAGTGACATTGGTCAAATCATGACCCTCCTATATTGTGAGGGTGGAGTAATGGGCTAAATAATCTCTGTGGTCTTATATAGGTTTTAAATTCTACCATCTGACGAAATGCTTGCTCTGCAAAGCTGAAGAATGCAGATGTGCATGTGCTATGATCATAGCTACTAAGAGGCAAAAAGTACCATCTCTCAGGAGAGAAACCAAGGGGAGAAAGAAGATGAGAAAAGGAAGTAATGGGGGGAACAGGGGGTGGGACTTTGGTTTTACTTGTGACATGGGGGAGTGGTATAGCCATACAACCAAACCACAGACTCAACAACACTGAAAACATGAGACTTAAACTGTGATGTGCCTGTCAAGGTGGCAGGCAGTGGGGAGGAGGGGGAGAATGGAGTATGGGAACACTGGTGGCGGGGATTTGACACTGGTGGTGGAATTGATACTGAAATATTTTATGCCTAAAATTCAACTATCCATGACATTGTAAATGATGGTTCGTTAATCAAATTTTAAAAGTATTTTAGAAAAAACATTACCCTCTCTCAATAGGATGGTAAATGGTTGCTCCGGATTATCAGTTTGGGGTAGAGGTAGGAAGGAAAAAGCAAAAACCTTTTTTGTTTGTTTGTTTTTCATTTTATTTTTGCCTCTCAACCCTCATATGATGTAGACTATTTTATAAAGAAATGGCTAACCTATATCTAACGAAAGTCAAATTTAATATATCTGATCATAGTATCTGAAGCTAAGAGCCCTAGTCTTCTCACTCCAAGATGTTTACTTTCCTTGAAAATCAGAAACACTGCCACCAGGAGCCATCTCCATTAGGATCATTACAATCAGGTTAATGACTAGGTGTGGATTGCTAACTTTCACATCCTCTAGCAGTTTCAGGACTTCCTTATCAAATGCTTCTTTGCACAACTCTAGAACTTGTAGTTTACAATCAGGAGACTTCAAAACTGCATGCAACTTCATCATTCCTTCATGCCCTAAGGTATTCTGTGCCAGATTTATTTCTACCAACTTTTGGTTGCTGCTAAGAGTAGAGGCATAATCCTTACAGCAGACAGAGGTCAAACCACAGCATTCCAACCTAAGTCTCTTAATATTACAATTTGGATGTCTGAAAGCCTCATTAGAAATTTGTATTCCATCATCCTGTAAGTCATTGCTTCCAACATCTAGGTTGTGCAAATTTGGGTTGTTCAAAGCAAAGACATTTTAAAGATGAAGATTCCATTCCTTGGGGCCAGAGCGATAGCACAGCAGGTAGGGTGTTTGCCTTGCATGTGACCAACCAGCATCCCATATGATCCCCCAAGCACTTCCAGGAGTAATTCTTGAGTACATGAGCCAGGAGTAACCCCTGTGCATCGGTAGGTGTGACCCTGAAAGCAATAAATAAATAAACAAATAAAGATTCCATTCCTTGAGAAGCAAAGAAACGCTCCTGGAAAAATTTGAGACTCATGGTAGGTGCAAGGCTTATGATCACACTAGCTTGCCAAAGAAGAAGTCAAGGCAGCAAAAGGCTGACCTAATTAATCAGGTAAGAGAGACGGAACTGTCAGATCTCTTGACTCTCCCAACTTCCGTTCCTTCAACCCAAGGCTCTGATTCAATGGGTCAGATTTTAGTTTA